TAATATAAATTTTTCTGTGATTAGTGTCAGAATACTTATCCTAATGACGTGTGTATGTGTGTGTGTGTGTGTAGCGTCTGTCAGGTCAGGGCTACTGTTTCTCTGCGTCGCTGCCTCCCATGTTGGCTGCTGCTGCCATTGAAGCTCTGAACATCATGGAGGAGGATCCAGGTACGAGCTTTGAGCCCTGTTCTATTTCTGGGCAGATCTGTGTTTTGAGACGAGGTGTTATCAGAGAAAGGCCTTTCATTTCTAATTCTTGCTGATTAGAAAAATGTTTTAGTAAGAAGCTGTTCTCAGATCTGTTCCCAATCCTTCCTGTGTTGCAGATATTTTTGCTGTCCTGAGGAAAAAGTGTCAACATGTTTACAAGTATTTACAGGGGTGAGTTGATCTGGACTTTCTGGCCCTTCTGTAGGTGCTGAACAGTTTCCTGCACCACTGAATATTGTATGTTTGGATTGGCTGAGTAGCATCATGTGATCAGTGCCCTGACGGCTAGAAAAGCTGCACTGATTAGAAGAAATAGAAGAAAGAAGAAGAAGAAATGTCAAACTTTAATAATATCAATAATTAATACGTTACAGGTTCAGGCCCAGATAGGACGGGGTCCGGGTCCAGACTTGGACTGCTGACCGACTATTAATGACCGTGTGTCCACACTATTATGCCCACAGACAAATCGCGTGCGCATGTGTTGAAACAGTGTCTGCATGTATCAGAAAGTTTAATTGAATGTGTTCTATGACATTTATTTTGTTGTTTTATGATGAATTTTTTTCTTATTCAAAAAAAGCATTGCAGGTTATGTATAAAGGTCAGTGCTAAATATGTGCAGAGGCCAATTAGATAGAGGAACCATTAGGTTAAGTGTCCTTAAGGTTAGACAGCAAGTGTAGCAGGTCAGTATAAAGGTTTTGTTTTATTTCAGAAATGTTGACTGTGGCATCAAAATATGTTTCATTTTGCGGGAAAAAATAAAACAATATGGACAAATGAATGAAGTTAGACCCCATTAATTAAAATGTAGACTATTCAATTACCTTTTAAGGTAACAGTAACAGTGAAAATAAACTCTTCAGCAAGATCTAAAACAACTGAAAAAAGACTGAACTTGTATTTGCTCTGCTATCCTTCTTATTCTTATAAACCTTGTGTTACGGGACAGTTTCTCATCTCCACTGAGTGTCCTGTCTTGTCTGCACCTTTTCCTGCCATCACTCAACAGTGAGGCAACATGACAGAGAAGCAGAAGCTAATTGGTCGTCTTGTGTGCATTCTAAAGCCGCGTTTCGACCCAAAAGTACCTGCAACTTAAACTTTTCTTCAGGAACTAAAAGGTTCCTGTGGCCCATTGTTGTCTGCGTTTCCACTGCGGCCTAAAGTCCCAGGAAGATGATGCAAAATTATTACTTGACATTACATCATTCACAGCACTTTGAGGAGATAACACGATGAAAATACAGGACGCAGCATTTCATTTTCAAATACGGGACGATCTCGTATTATACATGACGGGTGGCAACCCTCCCCACTCCAGTTGTTGTGGTCCTGTTTCAGTTTTTTTACCTTCTTCCGGACTTGTTTCGCGGTGTGGAAAATGTGTTTGCACACTCGCTTGCTCACTGCGGACTTTTAAACATCGCGGGTGAAATAAAATGCAGGGAGCACTCGACCAGTCAGAAATGTTCAGCACTGCAGACCACACCCCCCAAAGTTCCTGAACCTTTGGAGTTAATTCCAAGGTCGTTCTCCTGTCATTTCTGGATTAAGTGTCCAGTCAGGGGATGTTGGCTGCTGGGCACCAGGAGACACACCTAGCATTGTACTATGAAATGATTTTCAACGTCCCAGTTTGTCAGTGTTAAATCATATCATGATTTTTGTTTTCCCTGATTGTCTCTGTGACAGGATCCCAGGTCTGAAGTTAGTGGGAGAACCTTTCGCCCCGGCTCTTCACTTACAGTTGGAGAGAAGTACAGGGTCCAGAGACTCTGACATGCAGCTGCTGCGCTCCATTGTAGATCATGTAAGTCCTGAATGTATCCACATATGATGACAAATAAGTTAGTGTTAAACAGATACTGTATTTAGTATGTTTTCTGTATCAGTGTTTGGAAGGACGTGTGGCTCTGACCCTCGCTCGCTACCTGGAGAGAGAGGAGCGCTTCCTCCCCCCACCGAGGTGAGAGAGTCTACCTGACTGTGCAGTTGTAACCTAACCTAACCCCTCACCTCTGTACCACACACACTGTGTCCTCTCAGTCTGTTATATGACTTCTTAAAACTGCAAACCAAAAGTGAATGTAACACACTAGCAGGTTTTGTGTGTGTATCCACACGCTGATATATCCGGTTCCTCTGTGCAATAGAGCTCCATTGTCAGTCAATGAGCCACATGACATTACATGGTCTTTTATTACCATGAACACATACTGTGTAGTTGTAGTAGTTGTTTTTGTCTCACATACACTAGAGCTGCCAATGTGGGTTAGTCCCTACAAATTCACTATTTCCTCCTGTTTGAGACATTTTTGCTCAAAAAAAAAGTTGTTGTTCCAGGAAGTAATGAACCTTTTTTTTTATAAATGAAACTTTACATTTGTGAGTTTTTAACAAATGATATTTATATCTTCAGTAGGAATCCAACCATCTTTCTCTTTTGTAAAAGCTCATGTATTAACGCAGAAAATATAATAAAATTGAACTTTATAGTTTCACACCTGAATAAAACTGCAGTATTCCCAGAAGTCAGTTCTTTTTCACTGCTCTAAAACAGTAGCCTACACAAGAAATTGGCAAAATGTCAGTAATTTGGCAACATTGCATCCCGTATAACATGTCGTTCATGTGTTAAACAGGGTTTAACCTGAGCCATACAACAATGACAGCGGGGTTAGCTACCTAATGAGTATTAGGGCCACATTAAGGAAAGAAAAAGTCAGAATTTTTTAGAAAATTTCAAGAAAAAAGAGTCATTATGAGAATTTAGTTGTAATTTTAGGTTGTGTGTTATTTTAGAGGGGAAATAATCTTTTAAAATGAGGTATAAAATAAATAAATAAAGTTTTAAAATGAGGAACGTGGAGCATCCTATGAAGTTCTACTTTAGCAGAGGTTTCACTAATAAGGAGAAACTGTCAGACAGACAAACAGCAGCTGCCAGAAGCAGCTCAGATTGACACTGACTGTTCTTTCAACTGGTTTATTGGTTGAAGTAATATTCCTAAAAATGTTTTTTCTCTCAAAATTTTTCATTCTCATAGAACAACTTTATTCTTATAATTTTACAATTATTTTCTCATAATTTCAGATTTCTTTTTTCCCCTCAATGTGTCCCTAAAACTGTCAGTATACAGCTGTTAAAGTTTTGTTTTTAACTTAATGCTATCAGACCAGTATCGGTATCGGCCGATACACATGTTCAGGTATCAGAACATCTCTAATGTTGAGTGAATCTTTTATGCTATTTTACATTGGAAAAGGTGAAAATGTAGTAGTAGTGTAAAGGTAGTCATTTGTGTATTTATTCATTGTTGTGTGTGACTGTCTCCTCAGCATCAGAGTGGTGGTCACCATCGAACAGACAGAGGACGACGTCCAGAAGGTTGTGTCCTGTATCCAGGAAGCAGCTTCAGCTGTCCTCAAGTGAAGAAATGTAGCGTCACTGCTGACATCACTGGAGCTTTACCTGGAGTCCACTCGGTGGACTGGGTAGGACGTCACTGTGAGGGGGACACTCCTGACCACACACTCCCATCCATGTTTTTACTGGAGACGTTGCCTTTGTTCTCATGTATCATGTGTCATAATCAAACTACATGTTGTGTATTATTTTGAATGTAAGTGTGGCTCCTCTGCAGTTCACTGTCACTAATAAAGAAAAACCACTGCAGTGAGAACTAGGCTTGATTTTCACAGACCAAATGACCTGTTGCTATTGTACTGACCAAAGAGGAGACATTGAGCTTGTTGTTTTATTTAATATTCTTCAGTCTGTTTGTACATGAACTGTACACCATGGTTGTTTTACCTCAAATAGATGCTGATTTTTACAACTGGAGTTTTTTGTTCTTTGTTTTTCACTTGATGCTCATTTTGTTTTGTTAGAAGTCATTGCACCTCCCACCACTTTACTTACATGAAATGTAAATATATCTGATTTAAACTGAGTGATTGTGTGTGTGTGTGTTTTAGCTTCCATGTCAAGACCACCAACCAACTGTGTCATTTCCACAAACAGAGTTCAAACAGATACAAATGTAGAGGTAGAAATATTCTGGGTTTCCTATTTGCAGACCATTGTCATTGGATGCTGGTTTACTAAATGCACTGGTCCCTGCAGAGTTCTGCTTTAATGCTGATTGCAGCAACATCATGCAAACTGCAATAAGTGCTGCATTCACTATAAAATGTGCCCATCTGCAAGACAAAGAGCTAAAGGTTTCATCCAGTCATTTAGTGTTGCGCATCCATAAAGTTTGGGCCTCACAAGAGACAGATCAAAAATCAGAGCCTGAGACATCCTAGTATTGTTCCAGAAACACTACATTATGTTTCCCATAATACCACCTGAAGCATCTTTGAATCAGCCCCTCCCTGCACTGATGGAGTGCTCCACCAAGGAGCTCATGGTTTCAGCTGTGACTGTTTGACAGCAAAAAGTCCTGAACTGATTTGCACCAGACTTAGGGGATGGGCAAGGGGCCAGAGAAGTACTCGTTACATTTTGGTGCAGTGTCATTCAAGTTATTACTATTACTACATCTCTATGCGGAACCTGCACTGGGCTCTGTTCTCTTTCCTACTGTGATACACATGTTGGTATTTTTAGACTGAAAGCTGTTCGTGGGTGTTGCAGCAGAAATCATCAAATCATGTTTCAATAACAAAATGTAAGTTATCTAAAAAAAAGAAATATATAGAAATATGCAAATATTTCATTTAAAAGAAGAGTCAAACCCTTTCAATGAATCTGTCTCAAGTCATGAAAACCAAGTCAAGTTGAGTCTTCTATCAGTGTTGGTCAAATCTCAAGTCTTCAGATTTGCGAGTGAAGTCTCCACTCAGTTCTCTACATTCCTCCGGATCGCTCCATGTCTGCTCCACTGTTAACCCAGACTGGATTCACCAGCTGACTGGGGTGACCCTTAAGTGCAGCAAAATTATTTATTTTTGGCTTTAGGTTTTTATTTTTTGTTTGTTGGTGTCTGAACTGAACTAAACTGGACTGGACTGAACTTTGTTTTCATTCACAAAATGAAAGGAACTTAAATTTCTTTTTCTTTTTTGGGAAACATAATTTACCTGGACTATGACAAACTGAAGGAAAACTTGTAGTTGAATTATGAGCTGGATTGTTTTTCTGTGGACTTTGGGATTTTGTGAATGTCTTTAAAAATATGAATATGTTGTTTTTGCACTTCTGCTTGTGTTGTTCTTAGTGGGTTCAATTGTTTTCATTCAATGTGTAGGTGTAGCCTGCAATTTGAGTGTGCATCTCTCTGTGAGGTTTAATTTAAATATTTAAAAAGAAAAACTACAAACGAAACAAACCCTGACTAAAACACAACACAAGAAGTCAAACTGTCACAATCTGTCTGGCTGTTGTGTCATACAGTGAATAAACTTCCCTGGAGACCGCTGTTTTTAATGTTGCCCTTTTTGTTATTTGACTGTGGAGCACTGGAGCCCGCCTTGGAACTGGACTCAGGTAATGGAGTCTTGACTCGGACTTGATTCATTCTTTTCTTCGTTGACTTGGACTGGGACTGGGACTGGAACACTCAGGACTTGAGACTCGAGTCGACTACAGCTCTTCTTCCTTGTGTTGTAAATGTATTTCAGTTTGTCCAAAATCCACATTACAGACCAGTTCTGAGCAGGTCTTGAGTCTATTATATGTTCACACTGGAAAAGTGACAGAAGCACATGGAGGAAAAAGTATAAATGGATTGTGGAAATTGTGACAGGAAAGAAATAATTACGTTTAAGGAAAAATATTTTGATGTGTACTTAAGAAATGTAATAGGCTGTGGCATAACATTTCCTGTTAGTATGAAATAGTTAAAGTATTTGGATTTTTTTGTATACTAATGTGTACTATCTGAAGTCTGAGGCAGTGCCCCTGATGATGTCATAATGATGTCTTCAGGGTTAATAAGTGACAGGCCAGCAGACTTGTACCAAGCTCCTGTGAGGATGTTTCTTCTTCTTCAGCTCCTCCATCTTGGTGTTGACAGACTCTAGCATCGTCCTCAGCCCCTGAATTTTAATTTTCATCTCAATGATATTTATACAGAGTATTTATACAGAGCCTCTATCCAATTCACCTCTTATTCAGCTGTCAGCACTGTGCTGACCATTTATTTAAAATAAAACCATAGCCTGTAGGCTATAATGTATCTTTAGACTGAATATGTTTACATTAATGGAAAATAAATGTTGGGAAATAAAATGTAAAGATAATATAATTTAATAGTTCACTGAACAAATAATCTGCTGCACATCACCCACCATTTTTCCCCTCTACTCGTGGTTAAATCAACCATTAAGACCTAAACACTGTCATTTAAAATGTCCCCTTTAGTGTGTATCAAAATGTAATAGATGCCCCAGCTTTCACCTTTGTGCCTAAAATGTAAAATCTCAGTAGGGACCTATACTCAATGTGTGTGGTCCTGTCCTAAAATACAAACATATTGGGTGGATATTATGCAAGATCTGGGACTGATTTTAGGTATGGCTTTACATGTGAACCCTCTCTGTTTGTCCTGGGCCATCCGAGTAAAGATGTAGTTGTTGGTGCTGGTTCTGTCAGATAGTATCATATCCTCGCACATGCTGCAAGGAAGAATATTTCCATGTCATGGATAAATGACAAACCTCCTACTACAACAAACTGGCACAAGATAATCATGGTGATTTACTCTTGAATACTTGACCTGTCTTCTTCACTCTTCAAAGGAACAGTCTATGAGGATATGGACTCCATATCTCAACTTTTCAAACGCTACAGTGGCCTCAACACTTTCAATATTGAAAGTATATATACTTTTCATTATTCTGAATTGATTATGAACCACACCTGCTGTACCCTGCCTTTTAAATTGAGTTGTGATGTCCCTTTGTTACTGGATTTCTTTCTTTTTTTAAATACATATTTTGTGGCTTTCTAAGGGAGGGGCACACGTGTTGTTTTAATATGTTTTCATTGTTATTATCATTTATTTATCTTATTTCTGTCAGCATATATTTCTAACTGTGGTTAGTATTAATGCTGATTGTGTAGACCAATATTGTGCTGAGCTCTTTGTTGTTGCTGTTTTTTGTTGAAATATTCTTCGAAAAAAATGTAATGATTAATATAATACAATTATAAAGACATAAGGTAAAAATATTTAGCCTCGTTTCTTCATGGGAGAATGGTCAGAAAAAATCAAAGGTGTGGACAAATTCAGCTGTAATGTAGTTGACACATCCATAAACTCTTGAGTCTTATTTCAGGATTATTAGATTATATTAGATTATATTATTTAGATTAGATCAGATTCGATTCGATTAGATTAGATTCAACTTTATTGTCATCGTTCAGAGTATAGGTACAAAGCCAATGAAATGTAGTTAGCATCTAACCAGAAGTGCAAAACTAGTAGGCTATTATTTACATATAAGTGCGGGTTAAAAGTAGGTAGCCTACAACAGCATAAGTGATGCTATATCTTACAGTATGTAGAGTGATGGACGGTATGTAAATATTTAAAATATGTATGCACAGAGAAGTGGTCAGACATAATGAGCAGTCTGACGTTAACGTGTGTAACTGTGGTGCTCTGGCTGTTCATTTACCTTCGTCCTGTCTCTAGATGGGGCCCTCTGCAAAAACGTCACTGCCCTTCTGCGTGTGAGTGCGCGCGTGCGTCCGCTTTACTTTTCCAATCTCGCTTCTTTTCAGCGCGAGGACAGCGGACACTCCGGGATCAATCGCTGTGACGGCGCCGCGCGCGGCTCGTCTCTGTCGGACCGTGCTTTATTGTTTTCTCCTCTGAACCCGCATCTGGTCCGCACCTTCAGGTCCGAGTCCTCCGCGACCTGGGAAGTGCGCTGTCTCCGTGGGCCCGGCTGCTGACCTGGAAAACAACGAGGGCAGAAGCTCCAGCAGGAGAAGAAGAAGAAGAAGCTGTGCTCCTGGAACTGGATGAAACTACCATCTTTATTATTCCTGATACTTTCCTGTGAGTGAAAAGTGAAGAGTGAGCTATGAGCACATTCCTGAGGAGCTGGATCTGGATGCTTTTCTTGTCTCCTAACCTGAGATGTGACGGTAAGTTTCTCTTTTACACTGCAAACTTCCAAAAGACTGAAACACGGATTAAAATGAGAAGTGGCGCACTGCGCAACATGTAGTCCAGTCAACAGGTAGTTCATTTATTCAAGGCGAAATAAATAAAATAAAAACATAATTTCACATTCATGTGTGAAACTTTGCAAAGAGCTTTAGGCATTCCTGAGTTTTCTCGGGCGTTGATGTGATCTCACACAATAGATGGAGCTTTTTCTCTTGTTGCACTTCAAGTTAAAAGTTGGGCCAGGTTCATTGTTCAGCCTGGAGCTGGAGAACTCACATCCCCTCTGCAGAGATGAGATTTAAAATCCCTTCATCATCTGAGTCTCACACACTTTAATATGAATGTGTTTGAGTGTCTGCGGCCACTGTTGACATGTGTTCCCTGCAGCTCCTGCTCTTCATATAAAAGCTTCTTGTGTCAGACTCAAATGGCCACTGTGTCGTTGTCATGTTAATAGAAAGCTCAGCTCTAGGTGATCTCGCGTCTTTGTCAGTTATGCTAATTCATTTACTCCCCCTGCGGGAGGGAGAGCTGTGGAGATTTCCTGTTTTCAGCTCGGGCTTTGAGGACTTAACCATTTGGTATGAAGTGAAAGGAGTATGGGGGTGGGGCGCAGCGGGCTAAATGACCCCCCCCCCCAGTTTGTGCAACCCCTTTGTCTTTAAAGGCCAGTTCAATGCATATTCATGTTTGATACCATCCTTTAAGTCCAAAACCCTAAAGGTGAGCCAGTCTGGTTGAGAGCTGTATCACAGTATTACTCACTTTTCCATTATTGGAAAACTTAAATGATTAATTTAATTCATTAATTCCACATGTTGAATATATGTAAACCACTGGCTCTCTTTAAATATATGAAAGTGACTAAAGTGTAAATCTCTATTAGTGAACTTATCAGATGTGAACTGCTGTTACACTTGATTTTGTATGTGAAAATGATTTAACATGTGAGCTTCCACACAGTGAATTTTTAACAAGTAGTTCACATGTGATAAATATGCAGTTTATTTCACATATGATAAATTCACAATTGCTTTTTTCCCAGAACAGTTATGACTGGGGCTACACGATATGCAAAAAAAATCATACTGCACTTTTTTTTGGCAGCTATTGCAATTTCAGTTGGAATGGCAATTTTTACATTTTCACTGAAAAAAATATAAAAATGATGATGGTGTGATTTCTGTTGGGTCTTGTACCAAACAAACATGTTCCCTTACGCCTGGAGAATATGATTTGTAAGCCAGGGTGTCTCTGTAGCATCACAACACCTCATTAGTTCACCTTTATTTATTATTTTTTAAAAATGCAGCTCCTGCAATTTTTTGCAGCTTCTGTGATTTGGATATTGCACTTGGCCATATTGCGATTTAAATTATATTTTGTACAGCAAAAAACTAAACTTATGTTCAAAGCATTTAACTGTGCTCCACTGTTATCTATTTTAAACTCTTCATATGTGCGAAGCAGATGGTAGTTGGTTTTTAATTACAACTTAGTTCTTGGTTGAAAAGCAGTCATTTAGAATTTTTGTCCAAACTGACTTTGCAGGACTTCATTCAGTTTCTTACAGCAAACATGTTTCAGTGTTTTTCAAAGGCAGCCAATTGCTTCCATTCATAGAGCTATCAAAACCTAGTCAGACCGTGATTCACACCTGAGTCAGGTTGTCCATCACAGCAAATATCTAAATGCTCAGACATCAGCAACAGCCTGCACACATGATCTGCTACTGCATGAGAGGAAACAGCTAGTGAGTAAGAACATATTGGAAAGACAAACTGCCAACAGTTTTCACACCTCTGCAAATCAGACTGAATTAGATTACTCTTCATCAGCTGTGCTGGGACACAGACACATGAGGATGTGTCATTTTGACCATACACTGGTGGTGTCAGTCTGTTGTCCTCGATGTGGGAGAAGAAAACAGATTAAAAATAAAGGAGAATAACAGTCATTGAGTGAAATTACTGATTTTCTAGGATGATACCGACCAAATCAGCACAGCAGTAGAAAGACAGAGTATAAAACAGGAAGCAAAGCCTTTGGAATCATCTGTTTTTGTATGAACTTAAAATGTGGACAGGTCTTGATCTAAGTTACAGTTATAGACAACCACAATCTATATTGTTCTTGTTCATGTTGAAAACATTGTTCAAACATTCGGTAGCTGGTTAAATGTGTGTGAAGTCTTCAGCTAATCACGTCATCAGAAGCTAACTGGAGTCAGGAGTTATCAAACCTGGAGTCCAGTCACTGAGACCAGACTGGAGGTGTGAGTTAGAGACACTTTGACTTAAGAAACACTCAAACATTTTGAGTTTTTTGTTCACAAGAAGCATCTTTTGCAAAAAGCATCGTCAAACTCCACAGTGCAGCTATGCACATCATCATGAAAACATCCTCCCACAGGTGGAGCAGGGTGGAGGGAGCATCAAGATCTGGGTCTCTGCTGCCTCTGGACCTGGACAGCTCCACATCATCAAGTTTATCAAGGTCTCTTCAGGATCATGTCAGGGTGTCTATCCACCCAACATATGTCACAAAAAGATTCATAAGCTCGCCTGAGGTGGTGTTTCAGACTTTTCCACGAAGCAATATTTCACTCAATTTAATGGAAACAGTTTTCGCACTGAAGTCGCGGCCCCTGCCACATCAGGCCCCAGAGAGCCAGCTCCAACCGAGTGGCAGACTGCTGGAAATCTATCGCCATGTTTGATGAGAATGATATTGCAAAAGGAGAAAACTCAAAACTGCAATAGAAACACAGTAATGACCCTAAACATCAAATTATTCTACTACAGAAGGAGTTCAGACAGAGTAAATCCACCTTCTGGAGTGGTCCAGTCAGAGCCCAGACCTGAACCCAGTACAGATGCTGTGGACTGAGCTCAGAGAGCCGCTCACACCAGACATCCTGAGAATCTGTCTGACTGAAGCAGCTCTATAGGAAGAATGGTTCAAACTTCCTCTTTTACATTGAGCAGCTCTGATCAGCAGCTAGTGAAGAGCTGGTTTCAGAGGAGCTTCAGCCAGTTATTAAACCCAAAGTTTACTGACTGTTTCCATCAGCGCTGTAAATGTTAATTAACTTTGTTACATTTATTACATTGATATAAGCTTAAGGACACTGTGTTTGTCTGCATTTGTGACTTAGATGAAGATCAGATCACATTTTATGACCAATCAATGCAGAAAACCAGGTGATTCCTCAGGGTTCACTGACTTTTTCTAACCACTGTAGATACAGTTGTATGCAAGTTTGGAAACTACATCCACTACATCTGATTTGTAAAGTCAAAAGAAGTAACTTTTTGTATTATATATTGATCTAATTTCATATCACATGTACAGTGTCAATCTGATCACTTTTTTTAGTGATAGTAGTTTTAACTACTTTTTCTAGTTAGCTTTAGTTAACTTAAATAGATTTTTCCCTGGTGTAGCTTTGCTGTAGTTCATCTTCTTCCAGTGTGAAGTGACTGGTAGCTTTCAGCTTCCCCCACACTGGTGATCAGATCTCACCTTCCTGCTCTTTATGCAAATAAACACAAAAATCATTTCTGTTTGCAAAGACCATCTGTGTTGATGTTTTTAGCTGGTCCAGCTTTGACAGATTGGTCAGTTCTCAATGTGTTTGTGAGAGAGAGTGTGGAGGGACAAGGAGGGGCTGAGCCAATCAATGTGATGCAAACAGCTATACAGTGAAACAAGGTCTCAGCCATTTAAAACAGTAAAACAAATAGTGGCAGTGTTGATATTGTGACAATTCCTCACTAATAAGTCAATGCATGGGAATTTTGGTTCATTATAAATTGTGTCGGGACTAATCAGACTGTGGATTATACAGGTCTGATGGAGACCTGTGGTGAAACCTGTTGGCTACACTGAAGAAAACCTTGTGACACTCCAAAATAAGTTTGACACTAAGCCTAATTTATAAACCATGACAACACCATGAATGTTTAGGGGTTTTGATAGTATGTGTTGATACCTTGTGTCTGTAGGCTTGTGCTTCAGGTCTAACCTTTCAGGACAGCTTTAAACACACTCATAAAAACCAGTTTGTTTCCAGCCTTAAATCTGCTGTAACAATGAAATCCAGCAGGACAGTAGGCCTGCAGCGTGTTTGATTGGCCAGCGCAGCACTTTTGCTAGATGACGTCACGTTGTGCTGCAGCAGAGGTTGAGCCGTTTTTTTTTTTTTTTTTTTGGTGGACAACACTGTGTTGTTTTGCTGTAGCCCCCAGCATTGGCCCCCTGCTGCGCTGCCTGACTGGCTCCTTTTAGATGAATGAGACGGCTCAGGTTGGTCTGAACGCAGCCTCACTGCTCACATCTCATTTTTCTAAAAGTAGAAACACAATGTTTAAAAAAAAAATAAGGTTAGACAAAACATTCACACCACTTCCTGCCTTAACTTTGACTCCTGGTCTGTGTGGGCACAGTTGAAGGATTATTATTCCCTTTTCTACCAAAATCAGAAAGATGTTGCAGCAGGAAAAGGAGTGAAAATTAGTGGGTTCACCTGGGTGATGTGTTTCCATCAATGCTGATCAGAGCTAAATACATGCGTCTACTGCAGAGTCATCTGACCCGGGTGTGAATGCTGATTGTTCCCTTTTCCATTACCGATGAAAGCCAGATGTTAGCAGGTCTTAGCAGGTTTGTTGACCTGTGGAAAAGGGGCTTCAGTGACATTATCGGTTTGCTCACTTTAATTTTCACCTTCAAATAAAGTGGTAGCTGTCTGTCAGCTTGTTTCCAGCCTGCATGATTATGTATCTGCTCATGTTTGTTGTATCGTTAGTGATGCAGTCGCAGTCACAAGTTGTAAAAACCTGTAATTTTCCTTTTATGAAACAATTTGTTGCTTCATTCTGAGTAAAACCGTCCAACCATTATTTTAGAGTGTTGAATTGAAACCATTTATTACAGCAGAGATAAAACAGCAAAGTGATTAATGCTCAGTTTT